GTTTGGCCAGCTCAGAAACAGACTCCCAAGGAGGACCACAGACTTCTTCTCCTGGAGAAAGCTCATCAGAGCGAATCAGGGGTTTCACCAATTTCAACTGCAAAGAAGGGACTAGGACAAATTGAGTATAAATTGCCCCAAGTGCTTAGAATTCCCAAGTTGGATTGGGAGTAAATGTGTGGTTCTCATTTGAATGCTTTGAAAAAGAAGACAGTGTGATTCCTCCTTGCTCTGCCCTTTAAAAAAAATATATGAATCCAATAACAGAAGGATTTTATTTAGTTGAGATCCAATAGCTTAGCCAGAAATATCTTAGTCACAAGACATTTCTTCAGGGAGTGAGGCGATAGTTCAGACGGCGAGGTCAAGGTGAAGAACAAATACCATTTTGTGCATAATTCCCACCCATTAAAAGAAGAGGCTCGAATGGTTCTCATTACGCAGCCTGTCTAGATGCAGGATCCTTTCATGTGCTCCTCGGGCACGTTTTGGCAAGATTCTGAATTCACATCAACCAGCATAACATGGAGCAGGTAAGCGTTTCTTTGGAAAAGAAACCCAGAGAACAAAGCAATTCTAGCTGGAGAAGCAAATGCCAGGAAACCTACAGAGTGCTTTAACCCAGGCCACCGTTCAATTGAACAAATCCCATCCTCCTTATTGGGAGTCAAGAAACAAGCAAACAGGGAAATACACTTGTCAATGAGCAAGGTTCGCCCATGTGTAGGTTAATTTCACATCGATTTCAAGTGAACTTGGGATAGATAAAAAGAATGCTTGTGCTGGTATTGGTTTTTTGCATTTTTCTTCCTGTACCTCCCTCTCTCTTTCCTAACCTAGAGAGTCTGACATCCTTCAAAGGAAAGGAAAATGGCACTTGCCAGCCCACTGTGGCTTTGAATGCCCACCGTGATCTGTGAAAAAGTCAGGTCGCCTTCAAGAAGGACAGTGCTCTGTGTCTCTTGTCCCTCTGTCTCCTTGTCTTTGGTTTGCTTCCCTTTCTCCTTGCCAAAAAGCAGCTACCTTCCCCTGAGGAGTTCTTGCAATCCGTTCTAAGCAAGTCCTCCACTAACGAATGCGACAAAATTATCTTTATTCATTTAAAGCACAAAGACAGCCCTCTTTACAAATACTGCTCTTAATAAACTCCTTTGATATGCATCCATTCCATAGAATAAAGGGGATACGGTGGAGCTGATATGTCTGTATACAAACATCAGATGTCCAGACCGTATCTGTGTATACTGAGCACAGCTCCTTGCTGTGAGCTTTTAAATAGCATATGTACAGACACAGAGATATTCTGCTATTTGTATTTTTTGTCCTGGAAGGATTCACAAAAGACTGTTACAAAGTTCACCTTTAAGCACAGAAGTGAGGCTAGGAAGAAACTTTCACTTTTCATTTCAAGGCTTTTACTGCTAAAATTTTCTAATGATGTGTGTATGTATATTATATATATATATATAACTCTGATTCTTTCAAAAATCAAAAGGTTATTTGACTGATTGCATGTCTTTTATATTTTTTAGTACTCATTAGGTTTAAAAAAAAAAATCTTACTCTTGTCTGGCCAGTGTCGCCCATTGGTTAAGCGTCAACCAATGAACCAAGAGGTCATGGTTTAATTCCTGGTCAGGGCACATGCCCAGGTTGAGGGCTTGATCATCAGTAGGGGGTAGGCTGATCAATGATGTTTCACTCTCATCAATGTTTCTATCTCTCTTCTCCCTTCCTCCTTCCCTCTCTCTCTCTCTCTCTCTAAAAATCAATAGAAATATATATTTTTAATTTTTTAAAAACTTTACTCTTAAATTGAAAAGAAAAAGGCAGGTGCTAGGGCAAAGAAAAGTTGCTTTTGGGAGCAATCCTTCCTCAAGTTACTCTACCTGACACGGTACTAGGTAATTTTACATGCATTCCCAGGACCTCCCCAGATCCCTATGCATACAGACCAAAAAGATAATATTCAGTGAGATCTTCCGAAAACTGTTTAAATTCTGGGTCCCGCATCAGCTATAGAAATGACTCCCCTATTTCCTGTTAACAACAAAATTCTCTCCAGGGAGGTGAAGCGACTCCAGGGCCAGCCTTTCTCCAGGCCACGTCCCCATCCCTGTGGGTGTCACCATATTGAAGCATGCAGCTCACAAGTAGAAACATGAAGGCTTAGAGACGTCACAGGCCTCCGTCACACTTCGGGGGAGCAGGGATTTAACCCAGGCTCACTGGGTCTTTCCGTGGCCCTAAGGCTCAAGAGCAAAGATGTCTCCCAACATACCCCATGTGGAATGCGGGCGCTGGGTGCTGCCCCCTCTGTAAATGCTCACCCCAGAGCCAAGGACCTGGGAGAAACTCACCTCCAGCCACAGGGTAAGGGAACCACGGGGGACAGGTTTGAAAAGCTCCTCGCTTTGAAGGTGGAATTTACAACACAGGCACTTTCCATTCATCCCGGGTGGCTTTTCTCAGCTCTTCTCGCCTTTCACTGGGCAACCCAAACACAGAGGTGGGAAGTGGCAAGGAAATGGGGATTGAGGCAACTCAGGGAGAGAGGTTGGTTTTATAGATCCTTCTCTTTTCTCCAGAAAGGGCTGAGGTGCCTTTTTCCTGGCCCAGGCAAGCCAGTCCTCCTCTAGGCAGCAAAGAGGGACGCATGAAAACGCTGCGGATGACTGAGTATGAAAGCTTATCTAAGCAAGTGAGAACAGGCTGAGAGGATGGGCAGGCGAAGGCTAGGGGGAGGATTTGAGAACATGTTTCTTTTTCTTACCTTATTCCTATTATCACTGTGACCAGCTTTTCTATGGGAAATGCTGGCACCACAGGCTGAGGACTCCGGGCTCAAAGTTCAAGCCCCCATCCTGGCTTTCAGAGGAGACGGGGTCACCCAGTGTTGGTGCTAATGCCCTGTGATTCACAGCTTGCCGTATAGCCCAGAGAAAATACACCGATATCCCTATCTATAAAAAAGAACCTTTCAAAAGCCACGAGACTTCAACACCTGAGGAAAGTTTCAATGTGAAAAGGGCAGATGTTCCTTTAGGATGAATACCTTCAACGGGTATGATTATGAGATGCAACAACAAGAGTCTCCCCACCGGTTCCCTCCACACCCATCCAAACAGGCGGCTCCCCTTACAAGCAAGACCTTCAACTCAAAAATCTCTTCCGTTAGGTTTAGAAAGCCAAACACAAGGAAGAACAACGAAACAGCCAGCCCATAATCCCTCTGTAGCTAGAAATCACTAGCTCATTTGGCGGCCCCCAATCATTTTCCCTAGCTTCCAGAAGATTAAAAATGTCCTCTTGCTCACTGTCTTTCGGCCACTTTATACTTCTCAGGAGTAATTTCATCATAAGATGATTCCTACATATTGCCTCTCTACCTCTGGTTCCCAGGCCCCTCCTGTGGTTCCCCTGGACGAAACCCTGAAAATGCTCCTTCCGTTTCACTTTCTCTCCCACCTCCTGCCCAGCCTGGGCGGTAAGTGCTAATGAATAAACCAATAAAATGATTTTGTCTTCATCGTGTTGGTGGCAGGAGCTCAGGAGTTGAGTAGGTGAGGCATGCCCATAGCGCATTCTAGACTGGACACAGACTAGTCGCTGCTTACAAAGCCTTCCCGTGCTCTCCTTTATTAAAGGCAGCTGCGTGTAACAGGTGACGTCAGACTCTCACCGGTGACATGTCCATGATTATAAAAGGTGCAGTTTATGTCCAGGGTCCCGCCACCAGGGCACCTGAACCCGGAAGAAGTTAACCGTTCTTGTGTCCCGTTCTAGAAGATACTTGCAGGGGTTTCTGACCCCCTTATCCTTTGCAAACCAGAAGCCAGATTGCACCTTCGTGCCCAGAAGCAGTCTGTAGCTTAAATTAACAAATGTCAGGCCCTCTTCCCCCACCCCTACCCTCCCGTGCCAACACCAGAAATAGTGCTTATGCATTTACCGTGTGCCGGATTCCCTGGGTTAGGTGTGCAAGGGTGAGACGCCTCCAGGGCTCGCAGTTTTCCAACTAGAGAAAACACCAATGGCCCCAGCGCCCCCTCCACTACCCCAACCTTTTTTGGGGTGATAGCATCTCAGAGGAAACAAAGGGTTGTTCAGTCACTGACTGAGAACATAAAGATTTCCAGACAATACATCCTGGGAGAGGGCAGGGAGAGGAAAATTCATGGGGTTTTGTTCCGGTTCATGATTATAAAAATATAAAAGGTTGCAACCTCTCTTTCTGGGTCCCAGACACCTCCACCAGGGCTAGGGGACATAGGTTGGAAGCTGAAGAGTCCCAGCTGCTGGAGGGGAGCCTGTCTGAGGTTCTCCCGGGTGTCAGGGAAGCGGGAGGGAGGTGGAGAAACATAAGCATTGACTGTTAAAGGCTCCAAAGGGAGAAAGAAGGTGGTGGTCAAGGTTAGACCACACGGAAGGGAGCACAGTGGACGAGGAAGAAGGGGAGGAGAGAAGAAAGCAGGGATGCTGAAGAGGAGGAAAGATTAAAGGACAAAGGAGAGGAAGGGGAAAACGGGGAGGGAAAGGAAGGTAGGGTAGTAAGGAAGGAGGAAGAAAAGAAAGACGGGGGAGGGGAGAGAGAGAGAGAGAGAGAGAGAGAGAGAGAGAGAGAGAGAGAGAGAGAGAGAGAGAGAGAGAGAGAGAGAGAGAAGGGGAAAGAAGGAAGTAGGGGAAAGAGGGAAGGAGAGAGCCGAACAATCCTGGGAGAAGGAGGGAAAGGCTAGCCGAGGGAGGCCACGTTGGACCAAGGTTACAACCATCGAAAGCCAAAGTCCAGAAAAGCCTGAAAACCCTGGCCCACGACCTCAGATTGGCGGCGGGGCCAGGGAGAGCGGGCGGGCTGACGGGACGGGCCCCGCGGGCCGGCTCCAGCACCTCCTCGCGGGGCGGCGTGTCCTCGGTCCTGCGGCGCCGCCCGGGCTGCAGGGCCCGGGTCCGCGGGTAGCTCCGCCGCCTGCTCCGGGCTCGGGCTCGGGGCGGCGCTGCCCCTAGGAAGTGGAGGCCGGGATGGGCAGTCCGTGTAAGCTACTGAGGCTGTCCGGGGCCTTGCCGCCGGGGCTGGGCGGCTTCCGATCGACCACTGCGGGAGGAAGCACAGGGGCGTCGGGTCACTGCCTGGCGCGGCACAGAGTCAGAGACAAGGGAGGGTTAGAGGGGAGCAGGACGCCCGCAAATCCAGGGGACAGCCCGAAGGGAGTCTCTGGCGAGGGCAGCCTGGCAAGTGGCTCCTCTCGCCAGGCCATTTGCAGGTGCTCCGACTCCGCTGACGCCGCGCGGTCCCCTCTGCACCGCGCCTGCTTAACGGAGAAGGGATGGGTGCAGCGAGGTGCTGCCGGCTGCTCACCACCGGGCCCGGGCGGTTCTCCAATCCAGTCCAAGACCCTCTGGGGAGGGGAGCAGGGAACTGAAATCCGCACACCCCTCCTCCCCGGCCTCCACTCACCGCCCCAGACCCCAGCCGCGCGCACGGGGCCGAGGAGCTGCGAGCGCGTCCAGCCGGTTGTCCCTCCCAGCGGGTGGGCAGGGGGGAATCGAGTGGGGAGCGGGTCACCAAAGACGCCCTTGTGGAGGGCGGGCTCCCGCCGCCTGGACGCGCTTTATGTGGGCGCCGATTTCGTTTTCACCCGCGGCCCAAGCACCCAGATTCCCTCGCTGCTGTGAGCGCAGCGCGCTGGGCCTGGGGCGCCGGATTCAGTGGCCGTGGGCTTGCCAAATCCGGCAGCATTCTGCGCGGCTCTGTTATTTGGGCTTTGTGATAAGGGACCCAGTTTTGCTACTGATGTAACCTCTGGTTTTCCTTTCCAGTCCCCGGACCCTCAGCTTTTCCTGTGCTCGAAGGCACAAGCTTGGTTGTACCCAAAGGCGCCTGCTTTCAACTGTATTCCCCCACCACACACACACACACACACACACACACACACACACACACACACACACACACAACAAGTCCTCCTTTAAAGGGGGACACACTTTGGGTTGAGGGGGAACTCTGGAGTTTTTTTTTTTTTTTCTCCCTGCAGCTGCCCCTGCCCAGCCCCAGGGGTTGGGGGGCTGATTACTGTGTGTGCGAGAAGCTGGGCCCCGCACCCCTGCCCTAGGGACGCACGTACACACAGCACAGGCATGCACGCACATCAGGTTTCTCAGAGGTTGGAAAGGGTCTAAAAACCTTTCATAGCAGAGTGACCTCTCTACTCCCCCCGCCACCCCACCCACACCTCCTCCCAGCTCTCTAAACACTGTGGTAGCCGCTCAGCCAACGAAGTTTTCCGACTTTTCTCCACCCTGTACACACACCGCAAGGTGAGGGCCTGTTTAGAAAACATCTGAGGAGGAGGTTTCTCAGCCTAGGGCCGGTTGCTTGGAGACAAAGGCGTGAAAAATAAACACCTGGAGCCCAGAGACAGATTCCACCCGCTCCGCAGGTCGAAATGTTAGCTGTCCACCCAGTCCCTCCCCGCAGGCCCCTCCTCCCCTCCTTTCCCACAGCAGGATGGGGAGGGGGGTGAGCAATCGAAGTGGGTCTGTCTGGGTTCTCAGAGGCTGGGGCACCAGTGCATTGGGCGCTTTGCCCCGAGTTTTAACTAACTCTTAGGGGACACGCGTTTTTAAAATATTGGAGCTGCGATTTTAGAGCCACCGGGACCATGGGGATGGGGGCGGAAGAAAGCCTGAGTCTCCTTGGGTGGGAGTCTCCCAGGGCTGGGTCAAGTGAGACCCTGGTTGCAGGAGGCTGGGCCCTATTGCTCTCTGGCAACGTTTGCTTTTAGGATCGATTTTTCAAGAACGAATCTCCAGCTGAGATAACTGGAAGGAAGCTGCAAGTTATCTGTATAACCAATATGAACAATTTTTTCTTTGAATGTGTGCAATATCTTACAGGTTTGATTTCCAAATCTTTAGTTGTTCCAAATCCCCGCTGAGAAGGGTTTAGACAGTTTTGAACGTTTCTGAAAACACGCCATAAATACCAGTGGTCTGGAGGGAACCTCTTGGGGGTCTGTCACCCGTGGGGGTAAGGAGGAGATGGCCCTGCCCTGGCCGTGAAAAGACATTTGGATTGGTGTCCAGACTCCCAGAAAATCAGAGTCCCTCTAGGTTCCCAAGTATTAAATTTTCTTTCACGGATGAGAAATGTAGATTATACTTTCTTGCCTACATAAAAGGGAACCCACAATCATTACTCTTTACCAAGATAAAATACATAATTTGTGGTGCTTAATCTGGCTTAATTTTGCTATCTTCAGAGCAATGAAGCCTTTCCTAATACAGCCATTTTGTTCTGGGGCATTTCAAGCTCAACATTAAAAACAAATTACGACCCATAGGTGCTTAATTCTGGTGCTTAATTGTGACTTTCCTTAGGGTAATCACTAATGTTCATTTGCATCTGATTTGGAGGATATATGAACTAGATGATCAAAAAAATATCTGTTTTTACTGAGCATTCATGATATGAAATCGTTTTTCAGTGAAAGAAATTTTTCCTACTGAAAAAAACAACTCAATAAGTGCTATTTCTACCATTCTTATTAACGGAGCAAGCCCATAGTAATTGTCTTATGGGATGTGTGTTTGAATATAACTTTAAAACAATCATTAAAAAAAAAAAGGCAGTGATTCCAATCACTTTCTTTGTAATTTTTCAAAGACCCATTGGGCATGGAAGATCTTTGAAGTCTGCATTTCTGACAATAAAGTATAAAAATTCTTAACCCAAATAGGTATGTAATTCTCATTATTTTTGTGTCCCTCGTTTCAACACAAACACTTGTGTGCCAGTTTGAGAAATCATTTTTTAATGTTGGACCTAATTTATTCCATTACCCTTCCCCCCTGTGTTTTTTTTTTTTTTTTTTTTTTTGAGAACTGTGAGGATCAAAAAAATTAAGCTATTAATTGAATAACTAATGTAGCTAATTCTTACTACAGACTTTGGAAATTAGTGAGATGTTTCATAATAGAAAGTGACTGTAATGGTAAGAGGGACATGAATGCAAGTGCCTTCCAATGGTTCTGTCTTTCTGAAAGGAAAGTGTCTTCTAAAGAGAATCAACCACCAATGAAACCCCACCCCAATTAACTTGAACTAGTTTAGAATTCAGAACTGTGTGTTTTACCTTTGGATTGTTACCTACGGGTCATAATTTAACGTTGAGCTTGAAATGCTCCAGACAAAGCGGCTGTGTTAGCAAAGGGCTACATCGCTTGAAGATAGCAAGCCCTTTCCTAAGTCTTTTTTCTCGTTTGGTGAGCCCAGGCAAAATCCTTTAAATTTATAGGTTCACTCTTCTAATTCAAACGAACCTGCTTAGTTAAATGATTTGTAGAATGAGGTACATTCCATGTCAATTTCTAATTCAACAGATAATACTTCAGTTGCCCAGAAAACAGGTAGATTTGAGGATAACGACAAGACGCTGAGCAAAGCACTCACCATGAGATCCTCATTGGTCCTTAACTGTAAAGCTTTAGAGGAGCTGTCATCCTTAATTTTTTTTAATTTCCTTCACTTGAATTTTCCTATAAATGAGCAACTGGTGTTATTTTATTTTTAAAATTAAGTTCAAAGCTTAAGGGAGTCCTAATTCTCAAATTTTCTAATTTATATTCCATAATGTTTGTCCTTTAGGAAAAGTAAAAATAAAAAATATATATTTTTGGTTTTTATTCATTTACTTGACTTCTCTCTCTTCCTCTTTCTCTCTCCCTGCCTCCTCTCCCTCCCTTCCTCAAATCAGGCCATTGTGTCTCCTAGGAAATAAAGCCTTTTGCCTGCCCACCCCCCCTTCACCCCCACTCTGCATTGGCAGGTCTGAGGTGGGTCAGGCTTGTTAAAGAGCCTTGGGGAGCTGCCCTGACCCCAAGGTTTGTGCTCAGTCTCCTTCTCTGCAGAGGCTGGGACCCCCTGAGGCAGCTCCTTCCTTTCGCAGGGCAGTTGCAGTTGCAAATTTCTAGTGACAGAACCTATTGCAGGCAAATTCAGCCAGTCCTTTCACCTCTGAGGAAAATGAGGACTCAAGCACCAGGAGATGAGCTTTCCCCAATTTATAGAGAAAAAAAAAAAAAAAAAAAAAAACAGAACCTGGGCATCAGTGTAAGAAGACACCCCTCATACTGTTGACCAGCAATTAAATGCCTCAAATCTGTTAGTTTGGCTTATCCTGGAGTAAATTCATGAAGGAGGGAGAAGAGAAGAGAAAACTCCCAGTACAAATCCGACAGAAAGAAGTACCTTAAACCACATAGAGTTGAAAAGGAGTCTAAAACATAGGGATGCATGATTGAAATGTTCTTTCCTTTCCCAAGAATGAATTTAAGATAATGAACTCAAGAAGAAACCAGGGTCTAGATTAAAGAAGAAGAAGAAGAAGAAGAAGAAGAAGAAGAAGAAGAAGAAGAAGAAGAAGAAGAAGAAGAAGAACAGGAAGGAAGGAAGGAAGGAAGGAAGGAAGGAAGGAAGGAAGGAAGGAAGGAAGGAAGGAAGGAAGGAAGGAAAGAAGGAAGGAAGGAAGGAAGGGAGGGAGGGAGGAGGGAGGGAGGAACAAACGAACGAACCTGGGAAGAAACAGATGGCAGTGAGGTCCAGGAACCTGGGCAGGTCCACCACAGAAGGCAAAGCTCCTCAGGCCCCAGGAAGGTGAACCTGAATGATGCTTCTAGACTCTTTTATGAATGGAGAAATGAGGCGCAGAGAGAAGCAATAACTTGGCCAAGGGCACCAGAAAAAGATCCAAACCTGATCCAATTCTTCTCTCTCCTCACTCTCCAAGAGGGGAGGGGTGGACTCCTAAGACAGACATCTCTCAACTTCGGCTGCCTTTCTAGGGGCGTGCATAGGCATACACCTGTTAGAAGTTAATCTGATCCAAGAAACTACAGGTTTAACCCAGCAGGAAGGGTTTCGGCTGGGAACCAAATCTCTCTCACTACCTTTCCCACGATTACACCCCCTTCCTTGCCCCCTTCCTAACCTCTCTCCATTCATCGGACCCAATCCCACCGGTGCCACTCACCTTCTCGGCTGGGATGCTTGAAGGTCATCGCTGCTGCGAGGTCCCCGCTGTGCACCGTGAGGCTGGCCCCTGGGGCCGCCAGCGGGGAAGCTTGTGTGGGCGGCCAGGGCGGGCCCGGGGCAAGGTAGCCCCCGGCGGGCGAGCTGTACACGCTATGCTGGCTGGAGGCCGGGTAGGCGCAGGCTGGGAGGAAGCCGCCCACTGCCGAGAGGCTGGAGGCGGACTGTGCAGATGGAGAAGACAGACCATCAGCAGCAGGTATCCCCGGACTTCTCCAGCACACACAGTTACCAGAACAAACGGGGGTCCTCCTGTCCCCTACTGTCCCCTCAAGTATCACAACACGTGGCCTCTAATTTTCCTAGGAAGGACCCTGGCAAAGTGATTTCCACTCCAATTGTTCTAAATAACAATGAGATAAGGGGGGGGGGGATCGTGGTATTCACCAGCCCTGCTGGGATTTAAAGAGAGCCTCAGCCATCTGTGTTCAGGGTTCAAGTTTTTGTAGCAAAAGTCTCTTGGCCAAAGGCAACTCAATCCCCTCAAAAGCCAGCTTCCCCCAAAGCGTGCGCTGGAGAAAAGAAGAGAAAATGCTGAGAGGGCCCAGGTTGGCCGGGCTGCCAGATACCCACGGCCTGAGGCGTTTTCTCTTCTCTCTTTCTCTTTCTCCTTCCACCCCCCTCTCCGAAACTCTTTCACTGTTCTAGGTAAGGACACCTCCTTCCCAGACCCTGATTACCTGCGTGTATTTAATGTCCGCCTCCAGTGCTGGCTTATCGAGCCCATTCACTGCCGAGGTGGCCGGGAAGGCGGTGCGGTTCACACTGGCCCAGTCTTCCATCTTGGGGGAGTAGGTGGTGCCTTCGCTCCCGGCCAGGGCCCCTGGGGGACACAGGACAGGTTAGTGGGGACATGGGAATCTGCACTGGGCACGAGCGCGGCCCTCCAGCCAGAGGGGACACACGGAGGTGACACACGAGCCCACAAGCACTCAGCGCTTCCCCGAGGGTGCAGCGCAGGGTCCTCCATGCACCTGCAGCCTCCAGATGCTGGGAGAGTGGCCCGAGGTGGGGGTGGCGGGCAGAGGGTTTCTCTTTCACTCCCAGCGGGGCAGAGGCTGCTCCTCGTTCCCCCAGGCCTGCAACCCGCTTCCCGCAAAGTAAGGGGTCTCCGGCCTGTGAGACGGGGGCTGGGCGCACTCTGCCAAGGTGCCTTTCAGCTGTCCAGAGGTGGCGCCCGGAAAGGGTCAAGCTCAAAGCCAAAGCATGCTCCTGAGAATTATACGGATTTCTCAAGGTCTCAACACGTGTCCGGAGGGTTTGGAGTCGGTTCTCCTCAGAAATGCCACCCCCCTCCAGATGTCCTGGATCTTCCCAAAGAGGCGTCAACCCAGTGACCAGCGCAGCTCCCCACACTTGTGCGCAGGGAACCCAGAGAAAGCTCCAGAACTGAGAGCAAACCTGGGGAGGCCACCACCCAGCCAGCTGCCCACAGGTCGTTCCTGGGGAAGTTCTGCACCTCAACTCCCACCCCTGGAGCCACCGGCAAAAACAAACCTTATTTGAGGCCTGGGCAGCACCCCCACTGTCGCTGGGGCTAAGCTTTCCTTTCTTTCCGCTGCCCCAACCCCCTCCTCTTTGGAGCTAGGATGCATTTTGCTTTTTACCTACGTAAGAGCTTGCTATCCCTTGCCCGGCTGCTGGGACAGGAGACTCAGTCCGGCCCGAGCACACCTTCCGGAGCCCCGAACACCACCCCCCATCAAAGCCGCCCCAGGCTTCTCTCACGACTCGGTCTCCTCCTCCCTCCAGAGAGATGGCCAGCAAGTGTGCAGAGTTCTAGTTACAGGCAAAGGGCACATCCTTTTGAGTCCTGAGGTGCCACCTCGGAGATCCCAGCTCCAGAACCTGCAAAGCCGCCAGGCCTGCCTGAGGTCACTAGATAAGACCAGCAGGCCAGGTGGTCCTTTGCCTTTTACCCCAAAGAGCCTTGGGCCCTGGGAGGGACAGAACCTTTTGGGAAACCGTGAGGGATCCTGAAACACCCTTAAGAAAGGGTCACAGAAGCGACTGAGCTTTGTTTGACTTAAATCTGGCGATAAGGGGTTTGCATACTTTTTGCAAGAATTTTTTTGTTTAAAAAAAAGGCAATTTCAGGCCTCCAAATTTGTGGTCGGCGGCGATTACTCTTCCGGGGAAATATTTTCCGTATTTGTCATCAAAAGTTCAAGATGTCTCCTCCATTAGGCCTCGGACCCTCCAAACTCCCTGGCCAGCCCTAGCCTCCCCCTGAGCCCAAACAGGTCCAAGGGCAATTATCCTCATGCCCAAGCCCCAGGCTTCCATTCCAAGAAGGCTCTCCGGAAGGCCTCCACGACTGACCTGTTTGCTCCATAAACGTCCGGATGCCCAGGATGTTGCTGACTGAGTGCGCCGAGGGCCAAGAGCGGGGGATGCTGACGTGGCCTGCGGCGCCGGGGACCCCATGGTGGCTGCCCATCTTGGCGCCAGTGGGGGACACGGGGCTGGGGTACGGGTACTGGTAGATGTGGTTGTAGGGCAGCGCCGGCTGGGGCGGCGGCTGCTTGCCGGTCTCGTAGGGCCCGGGCTGCGCCAAGCTGCCAATCTTATTGCGCAGGATGCGGCTGATGGAGCTCACCGAGGGCACGTTGTACTTGTCGCACACGCCGTCGGCCAGCAGCCGGTCGCGGATCTCCCAGGCGAAGATGCCGGGGTCGCCCTGCTTGTAGTCCCGGATGTGCTTGACCACGTTGGGGGTGGTGACGCGGGGTTTGCTGCCCCCGATGGCCCCGGGCAGGATGGAGCCCGTCTCGTTGTAGCGCGCCAGGATCTTGCTCACGCAGCCGTGGGAGACGCGGAGCTGCCGGCTGATGTCGCAGGGCCGGATGCCCAGCTGCGCCAGCTCCACGATGCGCAGGCGGATGGCGTTGGGCAGGGGCCGTCCGTTGACGAACACGCCGCCCAGCTGGTTCACCTCGCCGTACGTCTGCTCTGCGGACGCGCCCGGGGACAGCGAGCGGAGAGAGGGGAGAAAACACCAGCCGGTTAGCCAGGGTGGGCGCCCCAAGGTGGGGGCCGCTCCCGGACGCGCCTCGAGGAGTGCCCGGCGGGTGCCCAGAATCTGCGGGTTCCAACAGCCTGGGCCCGCTGCCTCCGGGGTAGGGCGCGGCGCGCGACAGCCCCCCGCGCCCTTTGGAGGGGGTCTCACTTGGGCCACCCCATCCCCGGACGCGCCGCACTACCCCCACCCCGCCCAGAAGGGAAGGGATGTGCGGAGAACGCCGCTCGACAGGGACCCAGGACCCGGTCTCCTCCGAGGGAAAGCGGGCGGGAGGGAAAGGAAAAGCCGGGACACCATACACCGCACCCGCCCTCCCGCGCCCGCCGGCCGCCGCCCCTTACCCATGGCGCGCGGGCCCGCCAGCTGCCTGGCGCCGGGGCGGCCGGGGCTGGGCCCGCGGGACGGGAGAGCTCGGCAGCCGCCGCCGCGGGAGAGGCATAGAGGGCGGCCGCGCGCGAGCCGAGAGCCGGGCCGGGGCCGCGGGCGTGCACGGTGCTGAGCCGGCGCCCCGCCGCCAGCCCCCCGGCCCGCCGCCGCCGCCGCCGCCCGCGCCCAGGACACTCTCCACTCCCGCGCCCCCAGGCCCAGGGGGAACTTCATCCGATTCAGAGAAATTCGTCTGAGCGGGAGGCTGTGGCGTGTGAAGATCAATTGTACGTGTCCTCCACGTCAATCTCCGCAGTCGCGCCGGAGACGCGCGAGTTGGCAGCCCATTGGTTCCCGTCACTGAACCCCGGCGCCCCCCTCCCTCCCCTCGGTGAAACTCTACCCCCTCCCTCTGTCCTCCCGTTTCGGCCCTCCTCCGGAACCCATCCCCATCCCCCTACACACACACACACACACACACACACACACACACACACACGCACACACACGCATACGCACACACGGACACACGTGCGCGCGCGCGAACACACACACACACACACACACACACACACAGTCCCAACTCCAGCTGGGTCTGGGACCTTCCCCTCGCTCCGCTGTCCTCGCCCCTAGTACCTTTCAGGTTTTGATACAGATGGGTAGTTATTTCAAACTGATGAATATTTAATAGTCCTAGTACTACTTTGGGTTTTAGTTTTACTACCACCTCCACTGCCATCACTGCTAAGATATCAGAGGATTACAGTTGATCATGACAAGATGGTGGCTGCCTCTACCACCCCTTCCCCTGGGCATGGGGCACAGGGCACGCGAAGCATGGTGCCAGTGCCCCTTTTCTGAGCTTTCGAGCGGCACCTTGAGCGTTCAGTTTTTTGTTTGTTTGTTTTTATGATGTGGGGCGACAGGCCCACAGCATGTGCTCTGTCCCATTTCTGCCTGACACCCCAGTCCTGCTCTCAGGAAATTTTTTCAGAGTTGTAAGGAGTTCAGTGTTGTAAGAGGTGCACATTGTAGAGTCTGTCTCCCTGAGAACAGGCCCACCCACTGGAACTCACTCCTCTCTGAAGTGACACAGGAAGACTAAGAACCCTTTCTGACCTTTGCCCCCAAAGACAGTTCTTTTCATCCAGGCCTGGAACCCCAATCCCTCCATACCTGAGCTGCCTGACCTCACCTTTCACACAGCACAGAGGCTGCCAGGGGGTCTTTGTTAAACTGCTGAAGGGGCCTTTCCCCTCCATGTAAGAGGGGATGGATACACAGCTTTGAACTCTTCTGCCTGTGGGGGAAGTGACTGTCAACTCTTTTCTCCGTTTCTATCCTGCATCAGCACACACTCTGGCCTTTCCCAGCCTGGCCTGTGTGGCTGACCGTGGTAGTCTCAGAGGAAGCTCCTCGGTGGGATCCAGGAGCGAGCAGGTGAGGAGAGAAGAAAGCTCCTGGTTTTGCCCAGACTGATACAAGGAGGCCCTGACCTAACAGTTCCCAGCTTGGAGGCCACTAAGTGCCAAAGGCTTGGCTTGAATGTACAGGAACAGGGAGGTGTGTGTGTGGGGGGGGGGCTAGGAGGGATCCTAGGAAAACCCGTGGTTCTCAGGACTCCCCTTGCTCCCAGCTCTCCGGATGGAGCGGGAAGAATTTTTCCCTCCCCTTTCTTCCCCTCCCCCAAAGTCTAAAGCTTGGGAGCTGGCAGAGAGCTGCTTGAGACACTCATGCCATGAAGCTACTTCGGGAGGTGCACTTGCACCCGACAGGGTCCCTGACCCCTTTCCCTCCGCTGTGGCACCTGAAAGTGTTAAGCTATCATGTGTCAATCAGGAGGGCCTAAGCCACAAATCCTGTGCTCTCTGGAAGGAGGGCAGCCGGCCCTGCTGAGCTGGGGCTTGGGCCACAGGCGAGAATTATCCTTGGAAAGGAAATCCAAGTTTAAAAGGACTTTCCCCTCCTGCATCATGAAAAAATATGGTGCAGCCCCAGGGAGGCCACCAGGACACGGAAGAGGACAGTCTGTGCTCTGAGGACGGGTGGGGCAAGGCTGGAGGGGGGCAGGGTAAAGGGATGGTTCGAATTACAGTGCGCAAATCGGAGGCAGGGGTTCTGCAAAGAAGCAGAGCGGTGGACTGCGAGCACCAGCCCCGGGCTCTCCCAGGCTGCGTGCAGCCCAAGGCACTCTGCTCAGTCCTGACTGGGTTATTTGGACCCTGTTTGCCCCTGATCCAGACTTTCATTACCTGAATTTCAAGTCGGGCCCCAAAGATCAAAAAGATTAATCCCTGGAGCTGGAAACCGCAGTGTCCATAACCCAGAGCATCCCCAGCGAGATGTGGTGAAACAGCAAAGGTCATGTCTTTTCCCTGATGGCGAGGAGTAGACAGGCACGCTCAGAAGAGAGATAATGAGGCTGGTGGTACTTGGGCAAGCGCTGGTTCGCCCCCACGGCTCTCAGGGGAGCATCTTCCCACCTCTGCCGGCAAAGAGGTGCTGTCTGGAATGGCATCACCTCCCCATTCCGCTCTGGGAAGGCCCTGCGGGCCAGGGGTAGACAGTTGGGAAACTGCGCCCCAGGTCGGGGACGGGGAGGAGAGGGCGTCTCTGGGGCTCCAGAGCCTTTCGGCCCTGACTCCCACCCTACCTTCCTCTTCCTCCCCATCTCTCCAGCAGCCAGCTGCTAGGTGGGGGGCGGCGCAGCTCTCGAAGCCGCCCGCTGGCCGCCAGCCTCTCCGGAAAAGCTTACAGTTTGTCGCCCCCTGTCGGCCCGAGCGCGGACCGGCTCCGCGGGTTCCGGAGCCGGCGGGGTTAGGGGAGAAGCAGCCCGAAGAAGGTGGGGTTGCAGAAGGAAAGCAAGCGTCTCTCCTACCTCCGGGGGATGCGGCGTGGTCCTCTCCACGACCAGGACCAGGACGCGGCGGCGTGGCCGGCGCTGAACGCGCAAAGGTACAAACTCGCGGGTCCGTGTTGGTGTCTGGCTGGGTTTGCACCTGGTTTGGGGCGCCCGGGGCGCAGCGTGGGACACGATGAAGAGCGGCTCCCGGAGGAGCAGAAGGCGCCGAGCTAGGGGGCGAGCGCCGGCCCGGGGGACGTGACGCGAGTAGCGGGGGCTGGACGCCTCGAGAGGCGGAGGACGGGTGTCAGGGCCCCCCGACTGGCCTCGGGAACAGACCCAGCTTTCCGCAAGGCAGAGGGAGGAGCGGCAAGATCCGTGCCAAAAGCGCGAGGCAAAGGGAGGCAGGAAGAGGGTGCCTGCCCTCCTAGGGACTGGGCACGCGGTGGCCAGAGGGTTTTGGGGTGAATACTTGCCGCTTGAGCCCAGCACTTGAACGTTAAGGCTGCGGGGATTCCAGTGACAAGGTCGTCCTTGGAGCGACAGTCGCCCCGCTTCACCTCTCCTGCGTCTCTGTAGTTCTTGGGGGAGCAGTTTCGGGAATTATCTGGGTGCCCGTCGCCACAGGCCAGGGTGCTCCGGGTTCCCTGTGTGTTTCAAGGTCTTCGGGAGAAACGGAAACAAGCAAATGCAAGCCCCTCTCCGGTCCCAAATGCAAGCCCCCCTCCGGTCCCCCAGGGCGGGAAGAGCAGCCGCGGGCTCAGCGCGGCGCTTTGGGGCTCAGCTATCAGGAAGGGAAACACGGGCCGCCGGCGTCCCCGGAGGGCCCCGGGCTGAGCCTGGGCCGGACCACCGACCCGCGCCGGTACCCTCCACCCCCTGCTTGGAGAGCAAGGTTAGGACCCAGGGTCTCCCCAACAGCCCGCCTCGGGCCTGGGGGCCCCTCCATGTCTCAGCGTGTGACCTGGCTCAGCGCAGGCAGAGCGCTTTGGTGACGATTGGTTTTAAATAAGAGCACTACGCGGTGAGTCTTGCAGTTGGGAGGCAAAGGTAAACCGAATCTCTTCATTTTGTTTTCAGTTTTACTGTTTAAAAAAGTGGCGCGGGCTACAAAAGCACTTTATGCACCAGGTTGCATCGTCCTCCTCCCCACAGACAGTTTTGCAAAGAAGATCCTGCGCGCCCACGGGAGGAATAAGATGCGGCTAGCTGCAAGGAGACAAATGTTGGAGGAGCGGACCCAGAGTGGGGGGCTACGAGCCCTCCGGGGGCGCTGGAACGGAGAATTAGCTCGCTGGAGAGCGGAGGGGAGACAAAGTAACGAAACCCCACTCGGATTGACTGCAAGGGTGAAGGGAACGGGGAGGAGGAGGGAGATGGACTCCAGGCTAATTTGGGCCCTCCGCGGGCTAGCTTCGGCTGAATGCTTCCTCCCCAACGGGTGGCCTCGCAGAGAAGGGAGATGGGATTTTGGTCCCGCACCTGTCGCTCCAGATTGGGGCCCGCGTGCTTCCCAGACCCCAGGAACGGGAAATAGCGCCCTGGCTTCCCAGATCGCTGGTGACCAGGGTGGGCTGGATGTCCTTGGCCTCGCCTCGCATTTTATTTGCGAGCCTGGGAATGCGTGTTATCCCACCGGATCCAGTCCGCAGTGGCGCGGTGAGTCCCCACCTCCCCGGCTGCTGACCGCAGGAAGGGAATGTCCTTGGAAATACAAACGAAGAAAAGCAGATTTTTTTTTTTCGTTTTCCTAAAATGAAATGGATAAGTAAGACTCGATTAATATTTTCTGAGTGAATAACAGAGAAGTTTCTAGGGTTCATTTAGAGGCACAGAGGTGGAAAATAAAAACGAGATTTTCAGAGAAGCCCCCACTAGAAATAAACGGGGGGGAATTGAGCACTGCAAACAAAGATCTAAGGTAATTTCTACCCTGCAATGCAGGAGTCTGACTACTACATTTACATTTCTTTTGGAGTAGAACATTCTTAAGGTGGCATTTGGGCGGTAAAAATAAACCACCCATTTTTGTTGTCTCCTCCAATGTCCTTGTCCTTGTCATTCTCAGGAGCATATTCTCATGAGTGCAAAATCCAGGGTTTTCTTTCTTGCTCTTATGTCTCCCTCGTGTCCCTGGCAACGGGCATGCCAAATGTCCCCTGATATTAATTGACCTATACTGTATAATTAGATCTATGTCCTTTCAACACATCAGTATAAAAGCCTGCAAAGGGCCTTGGGCACTAATCAAAATTCACCACTTGTACAATGAGCTTGCAAAAAAAATATTTATGTGACGGTAGCTAAGAGTCTAAACAGCAATATTAACATGGAAATATTTGGGAAATTTAAAGATGTCCGTGAGGTCATATCTCCTGTACAGTGTCTAGGT